GAGTGCCAGCCCAACCGACTTGACAGGCGTGTTCACATCGAGAGACATAAATGAGTCGGCGGTCTTGCCGATCAGGCCTGCCGCACGGCCGCCTGCCTGTGCTCCCGTGGACGCTCGGGTCACGGGGCAGGGGTCGTGCGGCAACTCTGCTGGAAGCACCTGGCAACCATTCGGGGTGACGGCTGATGTGTTCTCCGAGGCTCATCGTGTGGAGGCTGATGAGGTTCACGATGGTCCGTGCAGTCTCACTGATCGAGGCGCTGCCAGTGCTTCGACTCAAAGGCAAGATGACAAACCGCACCCAGCTAGCCAAGCCCATGGCGAAGCTAGCGGGGCGATGACAGTGAGCCGAACCCATGGTGTGGCTCACGGTACAACTTCCGCTACCGGGACCCTACACACTGGCATGAGGGTCAAAATCGGTGGCCGTTTGGTGACATCTGGTCCTGGCAAGCGGCGTGGCCGCCCTCGCCTCTCCACCATACCCTTGGGCCTGTGCGGCACAGTGCACAGCGTCGACTTCATGGTGGGAGATCTTGTCGACTGGGACCCTCCGTGCCAGTTTGCAGGTTGCTCCATGACCTTCCATCCACAGAGCGAGTGGCAGCATCTCTCTCCGATATGAGGTGCTTGCTATCCCTCGGTGTTCCCGCTTTGGCTGAGCGATGCTTCGGGGCTGTGGCCCACACGAAGGAGAGCGGGCTTCTACGTCCTCCCCGTCACTGGCTTCCCCGTGTCGCTCTCCTGCTTCCTGTTCGGCGGGTTGTTTTTCATCCGCGTGTGGGCCTTCCTCCGCGCGTGGGTCCACCTGCCCCTGGACTGCTTCATCCAAGAGAGGTCCTCCCTCCACGCTTTCTTTTACCCTGCCCTCTGCGCTACCACGGCGTGAGGGCGCCGCGCTGTCGCTCGTCGGTCGCGCCCGCGGCCGCTCGGGAGACACGCGTGAGGCGCTGCGCTCCTCCTGCTCCTCCTGCTCCGCCTCCTCCTCCTCCTCCTCCTCCTCCTCCTCCTCCTCCTCCTCCTCCCTCTTCCCTCCCATCCTACCTCCATTCCCCCCTCCTGCCCCTCCTCCTCCCCCTTCTCCTCCTCCTCCTCCTCCTCCTCCTCCTCCTCCTCCTCCTCCCCCTCCTCCTCCTTCTCCTCCTCAGCCCTCCTCTCTCCTCCCATCTCCCTCTTGCATCCTGCCTCCTGCCTCTTGCCTTCCTCTTTCCTCCCTCTTTCTCCCCTCCTCCTCTTCTCTCCTCCTCCTCCTCCTCTTTCTCCTCCTCCTCCTCCGGCTCCTCCTCCTCCTCTTCCTTCTCCTCCTCCTTCTCCTCCTCCTCCTGCTCCTCCTCCTCCTGCTCTTCCTCTCCACCTCCTGGTCCTCCTCCTCCTCCTCGTCCTCCTCCTCCTCCTCCTCCTGCTCCTCTTGCTCCTCTTGCTCCTCCTGTTCCCCCTGCTGCTCCTGCTGCTGCTCCTCCTCCACATCCCGGAATCTAATCGATAAGTTGGATCGGCGGTCGAAGTGAACCAAATCGGCAGACAATCGGCAACCATGTCGGGAGACGTCGAATCGGCGGAACTCGGGAGGTCAGCCGGCCCGCATGCAAGAATCGGAATCCAGATCGGAACCTGAAGCCGAATCGCATCGGCATCGGAAGCCATCGACATCGAATCGAGCTCGAGGAGTCGACATGAACCCCGCTCTCCCTCGCGCCCTCGCGCCTGCTGCCTCCTCCATTACCACTCGCGCCCTGGATAGAGGCCACCCAGATGGAGTCCGAGTAGATGGGATCGGAGGATCGCGCCGCATCGCTGGTACATCGGCGATGCATCGGCGACGTCGACGATGCATCGGCGCCATCGGCCTGGAGGAAATCGGGCCCCATCGAGTCGCATGGCCGATGCATCATCGATGCGGCGCGATCCTCCGACCCCATCTACTCGGGCCCCATCTAGGAGGCCTAGACCAGGTCCAAGGCCGTGCGCGGTGACAACAAAACCGAACATCGACCGAACCGACAGCGAAACCGACACCGACCGACATCGACAGGCCGAAAGCGGCCTAGAAGGGCGCGGCGACGCGGCAACGACACAATTCGCCGGCCCAACGGGCCAGGGCGTGCTAAGATCTCCAGGACCTGGTTAACAAAATTTCTAGTTCGCGCGCGCGGGGCGGCCCCTGGGGGTCCCCGGGCGAAAAGTACCCCGGCAAGGTCCCGGCAAGTCCCCGGCAAGTCCCCGGCAAGGTCGGGTCAGAGATGCCGGAGTTCTGTTTCGGAGTCCAAGAGGGCTCCAGATCGGTCCAAGAGGGCCCCGAGAAGCTTTCTAGACGGTCCAAGAGAGGCCCGAGACGGCCAAAGATCGCCCGAAGACGCCCCAGATGGCCCCAAGACAGCCCAAGAGGCCTCCAAGACGCTCCAAGGGCCTTCCAAGAGGCCTCCGAAGAGGGCCCCAAGTTGCCAAAATCGTTGATTTTCATTGGTTCTTTTCTGTGTTTTTTTGCGTTCTGGCCTTTTCGCTTCCGGACGCTCCAAGAGGGCCCAAGAGGCCATCAAGACTGCTCCAAGACGGCCCACGAGGCTCCCAAGACGGCCCCGGAGCGGCCCAAGAGCGCCCCCCAGACGGCCCAAGTGCTGCCCAAGGCGGACCAAGAGGCCCCAAGACGGGCCCAAGAGGGGCTCAAGAAGGGAACCGAGAACTGAAAAATCGAGCCCTCCGCCCCAGAAGGCGCCCAGGACCCCGAAAGAGGCCCCAAGAGACTCTCCAAGACACCCCCAAGACGCCCCAATAAGCTCCCGTGAGGCCCCAAGAGGACCAACAACGTCAGGCCCCAGGCCCCGAGAAGACCAACAAATACCGCCAAGAGCCCGCCGAAAGCCCCCCAAGAGACCGTCACGAGAGCTCAGGAGGCCCCCTGGAGGCCTCCCGAGTTCTCCAAGAGGCCTAAAAAGAGGCGCCAAGAGGCCCCAAACGGCCCCACCGAGGCTCCAAGAGGCCACGAACGCGCAAGCAAACGCCTGCGATGGCACAATACGGGCCGGCGGAATGAGCGAAGCGATGAAATAACCGACCGACTGCAACCGACCGAATGCAACCGACTGCGACGCAACCGAGACGACCGAACCGTACATACCCTTGCGGGCCAGGTGCAGGGGGAAGGAGGAGGAGGAGGAGGAGGAGGAGGAGGAGGAGGAGGAGGAGGAGGAGGAGGAGGAGGAGGAGGAGGAGGAGGAGGAGGAGGAGAGGAGGAGGAGGAGGAGGAGGAGGAGGAGGAGGGGGAGGATCCCCTCCTGCCTCCTCCCTCGCGCCCTCTCGCGGCGACTGCGCAGATCTGCAGGCCCTGTGCTTCTCGCGCTCCTCCGCCTTCGCGAGGTCGAGGTCCGCCCCGCCGGGGACGGGCGCGCCTCTGCAGGCCCTGTGCGCCCCGCACGCCTTCTCGCGCGGCGGCGGCGAGGCGTCCACGACGCCGTCCGCCTTCGCGAGGTCGAGGTCCGCCCCGCCGGGGACCTGCGCCCGCCCCGCCGGGGGACCGTCGCGCGCGGGAGCGCGCGCAAGGGTGCGTCGTCGTCGTCGTCATCGTCGTCGTCGTCGTCGTCGTCGTCGTCGACCATCGTCGTCCACCATCGTCGTCGTCGTCGTCGCCGTCGCCGCCGCCGCCGCCGTCGTCATCGTCGTCGTCGTCATCGTCGTCGACCACCGTCGTCGACCATCGTCGTCGACCATCATCGTCATCGTCGCCGTCGCCGCCGCTGTCGTCGTCGTCGTCGTCGCCGCCGCTGTCGTCGTCGTCGTCGTCGACCATCGTCGACCATCGTCGACGTCGTCGTCGTTGTCGTCGTTTTCGTCGTAACTGGCGGTTGGGAGAGGGGGCGTGGTCAGCGCGTCGCCCCCGAAACGTGGTGGGCCAGAATCGGCAGCGCGATACGCTCAGCCACATTTCCCGACCGTAGCTCAGCATCTTTGCCTTGACTCGGCCGCCCCGTGCGGCCCCGTGTGCCAGACCGGTGGCCCTGGAGTCGGTCGGGCAGCGCGGCGAGGCACGTGGGTACCCTGGGCAGGTGCATGCAGGAGAGGCGGCGCGGGGAAGGATGAAAACGCGATCTTCTTGGTAATGCCGGCCAGGGAGTAAGGGGGACGGAGGCAGAGGGCCAGCTGGACGGCGGCCAAGACGGTGCGGCGGCAACGGGGGCTGGGCTGAAACAGCGCGGGGAGGCGAGAGACGAAGAGCAGAGGAGGCCCGCGAACCATTGCGCGCCAAACGGCGGCGCACGAGAAGCCAAAACGCAGAGGCGGCGACGGGCGGAGGCCGAGGGGGAGGCAGTCCAGCCGCCTCTCGCGAGACAGCGCGGCCAGGGCAGATGAATCTGGGAACTGGGCGAATGAGGGAATCACGTGGCTGGCCCGACCAGCGACGCCCGCGCCAGCGCAACCGCGGGCGCCAAGCTGCTGAGGCCGAGCCGCCAGAGGCGAGGACCGTCGTGGGGCTCCGACAGCGGCGGCCCCGCAGCAGGAGCGGAGAACATTGGAGGGCGGGAGAAGGGGTCCGCCACAGGGGGTCTTCAATGGGTGCTGCTACGCTACACTAAAGTCAGACGCCGAGGCGCGTGGACACAACACTACATGCAATGGCGGCAGACAGCGCGCTGCCAAGCCACCCGGTCTCTCAGATCTATTGGTACAAGAGCAACACGTGGTTGCACTTGGCTGGTCCATTCGTTCTTTCGTTTTCCAACGCGTCCCACGTCGTCGGGTGCTGGCTGGCCTGTTTATGGCTTATTCAAACGATTCGGCATGGCCAGCATCCGCTGCGCGTGGGCATAATGAGGCGGGGATGAGACTCTCGAGCGCTGTCCGTGGGTGGTGACACATCCCCCAGCCCAACTGCAGCTGGCACAAGAGACGTGATATCCATGCGCCGCGAAACGCAAAATGCGACTTCACAGTTTGGGAAAACGCAAACTTTGAAATCACGGTTGGGAAAAACAAAACAACGCAACATGTGAATTCACATCGGGAACAAACGCGAGATGTGAATTCACACTCCGCGGTTTTAGTACTATTGTTGAATAGCAAACCGAACATGTGAAGTCCAATTTTCAGGAAAAATGTAATGTCGCATATTTGGGAGACGCAGAATTTGAATCCACATGTTGGAACATTTTACCAAACTTTCAATCGCCCTGGGCGATTGCCTGCGACGTAGAACAGCGGGCAGATGCGTTACCGCCAACGGGCAACGCTCGAGCGTCGCATTCCTGCGTCGAAACCCCAAATCCGCAGTGGATGTCAACCGTACTGTAGCACTTGAACCATAGTTTATCATAGATTGGCCGTTCAGCACGACCCCCTGCTGCAGGCCTCTACGTTCGCCCTCCGAAGAACAAAAAAACAGCCCAAAACTGGCGCCCGACGTGTGGCGACAAACGAAAAGCACAACACGCAAACCATCATTAACAAAACCACCAACACAAACACACGCAACCACACATACAAACACACACGCGCACTTGTTTTCCTCCAGCGGCGAGGTGGCGACACCGTCGCGATGCGCTAAGCCGGGACACGCTTAGGCAAATTACCACCTGGCGTAGCAGATGGGTAGACTGTATGAAGACACTCACGTGCAGAGAAACGCAGGTACGTACGCACACGCGCACAAACACGCACGACCACTTTTTCCTCCAGCGGCGAGGTGACGACACTGTCGCGATGCGCTGAGCCGGGACACGCTTAGGCAAATTACCACCTGGCGCAGCAGATGGGGGGGCTGGATGGGACTCACATGCAGGAGCGCAGCAGGCGCGCACGCAAACACACATACACACACGCAACCCCCTCACATACACATGCGAGCGCATTCAAAGACACACACGCGCACGCACCCACCCAACCCCGCACGCACACGCACCCACACAAAGACACACACAAGCACAAGCACAAATACAAACACAAGCACAAGCAGACGCACGCGCACACGCACACGCACACAGACACACAGACACGCACACAGACACACAGACAGATACGCACACAGACACACACGCAGACACACAAAGACACAGACACAGACACACGCGCACACAGGCGGAGTAACACAGCCAGACACGCACACACACACACTCATGCACCCACACACAAACCCATACACACCCACACAAACGCACGCACACACATGAGCACACCACACACGCATACACACGCACACACGCCAACACAAAGACACACAGGCACACACACAAAAGCCCCCTCACGCTCACACGCCCACAAGCCCACGTGCGCACACGCACACATTCACACACACGCACGCGCGCACACACGCACACACGCACACACGCACACACTCACGCCCGCACGCGCGCACACGCGCACACGCGTACACGCGCAGATGCGCAGACGCGCACCCGTGCGCACGCCCGCACGCGCACAAGCGCACACGCGCACGGCCGCACACTCGCACACGCGCACACGCGTGCAAGCGCAGGCGCGCACGCGTGCGCACGCGCGCACGCGTAGCAGACGCGCACATGCGCGCGCACGCGCACACGCGCACACGTACACAGGCCCACACTTGCACACGCGCACATGCGCACACGCGCACACGCACACGCACCTGCGCACACGCACATGCGCACGCGCACGCGCACGCGCACGCACGCGCACACGCGCACGCCCACACACAAACACACTCAAACACACTCAAACACACAACAAAGCAAACACAAGCATACACACACACACACTCGCAAACACACAACACACAACCACACAGGCACGCGCACACGCACACGCACACGAACGCGCAAACGAACACGAACACGCACACGCACACGCACATGCAAACGCACACGCACACGCACACGCGCACGCGCACCACGCAAACACGCAGACGCGCACACCTTAACACACACACACACACTCACAACACACACAAACACGCGCACACACAATCACACACATATATATATATATATATACATACACACGCACAACCACACACAACCACACACACGCACAACGACACACACAACCACGCACACGCACAACCACACACACACACAACCGACACATAACCAGACACAGCCACACACACACACACGCGCAAGCACAACCACACTCAACAACACACGCACCCACACACACACACACACACGCATAAACACACACAAACCCACAAACACACACAAACGCAAAAGCACACAAACACACACACGAACACGCTCACGGGCACGCAAGCGCACACGCACACGAAAACGCACACGCGCACGCTCAGGCACACACGCACACGCACAGACACACAAAGACACGCACAACACGCACAACACGCACAACATACACGCACGCACGCGCACTCGCACACACACAACCACACACACACCAACGCACGCACGCACGCACACACGCACACACGCACATATTTGTTCGGGCGTCGCGGCCCCGCGCGTGGCGACGGGGCGACACACACACAGCACTGCCGCTTGTATGTGTTGTGCGTGCCGCACGCACGCACAACACATACACGTGCGCACACTTTTGGCGGTCGCGGCCTCGCGCGCAGCGTCGAAACAGAGAAAACACCCGCACACACGCACACGCACACACGCGCACATGCACACACACACACACACACACTCTAGCACACACACAAGCACGCACACGCAAACACGCGCGCACGCTCGCAAGCGCGCGCACGCGCAAGCGCGCAACACGCGCACACGCGCACACACGCACACGCGCACACACACACACACACGCACACGCGCACACGCGCTCAATACGCACTTACACGCGCACGCACGCACGCACGCACGCACGCACGCACGCACGCACGCACGCACGCACGCACGCACGCACGCACGCACGCACGCACGCACGCACGCACGCACGCACGCACGCACGCACGCACGCACGCACGCACGCACGCACGCACGCACGCACGCACGCACGCACGCACGCACGCACGCACGCACGCACGCACGCACGCACGCACGCACGCACGCACGCACGCACGCACGCACGCACGCACGCACGCACACACACACACCACACACACACACACACCACACACACACACACACACACACACACACACACACACACGCACGCACACGCGCACATACCCACACACACACACATCACACACCACACACCACACACACACACACTTTTTGGCGGAACCTGCCTCCCGCGAGGCAACAAGGCGAAGTCAGCAAGGCACACGCACACTCACACGCACACGCGCACACACGCACCTACGGACGCCCGCGAGCACACGCACGCACATACGCACGAACGCACGCGCACATGCACGCACGCACGCACGCATCGTACTCACGCACTGCCCTCACGTGATCCTGGCCCACAGGCTGGTCTCGGCTGGTGCTGTGCGTAGGCCATCGCCACTCGCCCTGGTCCGAGTCCCTTCCTCCCCTTTCCTCCTTCCCTCCTCTCCCGATCGCCGTCATGGTGTGGCTCCCGGGAGTCGCGGTCCCTGTCCGGACTTTGCGGCA